TCCCCTTCCTGCATACCTACTTCTCTGTGAGCACTGCTGAATCTAGACAGGAATCATACATACACTATACATCAAAATGAGCATTCAGTGTGACACACACAGGAAGTCAAAGAGCTGAATGTAACACATGATCAGGACTTTCTGAGAGTCTTCATATTGTAGTGACAAAACTGTTCACTTCCATTTATTCAGTACAGCATTTTATAAGAATCAGGAAAGCTAAGGTCTCTTCAAACTTCATAAAGCTTTGTATTTCAATAGTAAAAAATATCATTGCAAAAGCATTGTTAAATGCATGCTTAGCAAAATAGCACTGTTATTTGTATGAAGTCAAACCCATTAATAGAGCTTCCTGTATCTGCCAAAAGATTTATTTTCAGGCTCATTTACTCCTGGACTGATAGAAGAGGTCACAGAATTCTCAGCCTAAAACAGCTTTGAAATATAAATGCAGACTCAAGGGAATGAAGAAAGAAGAGTAAAAGCAGGTCTGAACTGCACCTTCACTTGAGTACATGCAGACACCTGAATTAATCTCCTGGTGCTAAGCGAGACCATAAGCTAAATTAATCAAGGAGGGATAAAAAGGTTGGGTCTGAATTTGAACCTGAAATTCAGATATAATCTGAATACTCTAAAGTGAAAGCAAAACTGTTATCTTGAAATTAAACATAGTGTTATCTGTGCACAAGTTATGAATTTCAGCTGAAAACAGCTGAAATTGTCTCTAAAGTAGCATGAGAGAGAAGCATAAGGAGAGAAAATCTGTACTTGGGTATAAGTAAAAGAAGCAAATGATATACTGGGTCACCTAATAATAAATTTACCAAGTCTGTGCAATACCATGAAGCAGGGTGCTATATTTTTATAAAAGTTAAGTCCAGTGCTGGGTTTCATCTTGTCTTTTCAAAGGTGAATACAGTTCTGTAACCCTGAAGAACATTACAGTGATTTCAGCCATGATCTGAACTGCATGCCATTCTGCTTTGCAATCTAAACAGCTTCTGTTTTATGAGTCCCACAGACTGAACACAGATTACAGCTAAATAAAAGAAAGTCTGTAATCTAGTTGTAATCTAGTATATGTCGTAGGCTACATTCATGTCTGACTAAGGATGTTTAGAGACAGAAAGCTGCCTCATCATCAGTGAGGACACAGCTATTGGCTAGTTCTGTTGTTAAAAAGATGCATTATCTGTATAAACATAAATAATATATATTTTTGTTTATGTATAAAGTTAAAGTAATGGCAGTGGATATATAAATCATTGCTTTGATCTCCCATGGGCCGTGTCTGGCATCAGCCTCCTACATGCCTCTTTTTCATAATCTTTACCAAAATTCTGCTCTGCTTAATGACAATTGGCACACTAGATCAATAGGAAAGGATATTGTTTACATGCAAAGTGGCAGCTCCTTGGCCCTGTTACAATGACTTTCCATGTCATTGTCAAATTAGGCAGCAGACTGAGAAGTCCAGCGTATTGGAAGACTTGGGCAGCAGTCAGGCCACCATGGTACTCCCCTTTGACACAAGGACCAATGCATGATCTCATCTCCAGGCTCTTGGGAGTCCAGCTTGCTGCATGGACTCCTTTGTGCCCATAATTACAGCACTCTTGAAGCTGTCCAGTGCCCAGATAAATCCACTTAATGCAGATAAGTAACAGAACTTTTTGCTCCCTTGGAGTTCAGCAAAGAGAGGTCCTACAAAGATACATGTATGTTCTCTCCTTTAGGCTCTCTTTCTCTTGTGCATTGTCTAGTTGATGAGGGTAGCTTGTAGCACTTTATAGAACAGTGTTGGTTACCCTACCTGAAATACTATTGCTAGAAAAAATAGGAAATCTAGCTTCCCAAAATTACCATGGTGAACACTGAGTTTCATTGTTTCTGTTTTCCCAAGAACTCATCATGAATGGGAAAAAAAAAAAAATCCAATGCAACAGATAAGTTATAGTGAATGTTATACATGTATGAGGAGAAAATTGCCTTTATTACACAAAAACAGAAAGGGAGCATAAATCAAAAAGCATGTCCTTTTCTCAGCATGGTGCTCAGTACAAGTCCTTGTACCATCCAGGGAGTACAGATGCTGGCTTTGCCAGAGAACAGTTGAAACCTTGGCTTTGTCCCTACCTGGCATGAGCCAGTATCCCTAGTTTATGAAGCAAGGAGAAACAAAAAAAATAATAGAAAAAAATAGAAAGTGGTCATTCCTACATCCATAATTTTTTTTTGCATGGCTCATTCTGTGGCACTTTAGATGTGCCTCACTTCTTCCTAAGAGCTGTTGTCAAATAGCTAGAACAATTGAAAACGAGTTGGTCTTCAGAGGAGCGTGAGTTGATATGAAAACTGGAAAGGACCCCAAAAAATCCAAGTCGTTAAATAGAATGTCTATAGCCTTAGCCCAGCTATCAAACAGGGCTAAAAAGGACATGTTTCCTATAATTCTGTCTTTATGCAGTACCATTGAATGCATATAAAAGTATCCTAATTTAAAGTCCAATTTCTGTTGGATTTTACTTTGCGAGCTGCGCTCTTCAAAACAGTAACTTCATGTGTTTTGAGTGTTCTTTGTGTACAAATGTTTTGTAACAAGTACATTCACAGAACTTCTATGTACCATGTGTTTCTAAAACAGCCTGGAGATCACTGGTTAGCATCACTGTAAACAAATGTGGAAACCACAGTTCTGCCCCCATCTCCTCTCAGAATCTGTGGAAACACCCATCAAGCTGACTTAAACATGAAGTGCATGGAGGAGAGTGGGTCAACAGTACCCACTTAGGGATATTATTTTATTTTAGACATATGTGTGCTGTACATTTGCTTAATTATTAACTGCACAATGGCATGACTTTTGGCAGGTAAAAGAGTAAACAGTTCTATTTTGTGGACCCAGTGTCCTTCTGCTAAAGCCCCAGTGCCACTGATTTATGTGGTTTAATGAAGTTCAGACAGAAGTTATGAAAACCTTTTTTTTTTCTGATTTTAAAGTTTGAATTCTAAATAATAAAATATTTAAATAAAGAAATGCTCAGAGTAAGAATCATTTCTCAGTAGAAAGCCTCCCTTTCATTAGGTTTAGCTTCCTTTATAGTGGAATCAGATAAAAAGCTAATGGACAAAAACTGTTATAAAAATCCTATTCTTGAGGATTTAGTGAGATGAAATATGTTTTCAGCATTCAGTTCTTACAATAAAAACTATTAGATAAATGCATTTTAAGAGGTATAAGTTTATTTAAATACTAAGTAATTAGTGAAGAGGTCTGCTATTCTGTTTAAGTCAGTTCAGAAAGCTTTTAAAAACATTTATCCTCCATCTACAGCATCTTGCTTTATCAGCATGTGCATCTGAAAGAGGAAATTATTTTTTCCCCCTTACCTGTTTAGGAAAGAATATGAAAGCATACAAGAAAAGCTATGCATTTCACAGAAAATATGAAGCATTTGCCTCAAGAAAGTTTTGAACTTTTCAGATCAACTAGCATGATTGGACTTGGCACTCTTTAAGGCCTTTTCCAACCTAGATGGAAGCCTATGGTTCTATGATTCCAAGACAGAAGTTGCACACACAAGTCATAGACCTGAAACACCATGATAAGAAATGTCATGGTTTTGCCTGGGACAGAGTTAATTTTTTTTTCATAGAGGCTCACACAGTGCTGTGCATTTTTGATGACAATAGGGGTGATAACACGGGGATGTTCCAGTTGCTGCAGAGCGGTGCCTGCACAGAGCCGAGGCCTCTCCTGCTCCTGGTACTGCCCGGCCAGTGAGGAGGCTGGGGGTGCCCCAGGAGCTGGGAGGGGACACGGCCAGGCCAGCTGGCTCAGGCTGCCCAAAGGCATGTCCCACACCGTGTGGCACTGTGCTCAGCAACAGCAGCTGGGGGAAAGGAGGAGGCAGGGGAGATGTTGGGGTGATGGCGTTTGTCTTCCCAAGGAGCCGTGCCGCGGGGTGAGCCCTGAGCTCCTGGAGGGGGCTGAGCCCCTGCCTGCCGATGGGAAGCAGTGAGTGGATTCCTTGTTCTGCTGCGCTTGTGCATGGCGTTTGCTTTGCCTAGTGACCTGTCTTGGTCTTAACCCATGAGGTCTCACACTTTTACCCCTCCAGTTCTCTCCCCCACCCCACCTGGAGGCGGTGGGCAAGTGGCTGTGTGGGGCTGAGCTGCCTGACAGGGTTAAACCACAAGCCATTAAAGGCCCAATTCCCCCATAGTTGTTTTTAACTATGAACTTTTACCCCTTTGGAGATAAGTACTTTAGTTTTCCATTCCTGTGTGGAATTGCTCCAGAAATACTTTTAACATTAATGTAGCTGAATGGAACAGTGTGCAGGGCAACTAGCAATGTTGAGAGTAAAATATTTTCTATAATTATTTATGATAAAAAAAAAATATTGCTCTTTAATGAAAAAGATATTCAGTTATGTGCTAACTGGAAACCAAAACCATTTCATGTCTTTTGTAGAAAGCTTCTACAATATTGATTTTTCAGGATTATTTTATTCTAATCAGTTACGGAAGTAGAAGAAGAAAAAAAATCCATTGAGTTCTGGGGATATTGATTTCATATGTATCTGATTGACTCTTAAATGTCTACATACAATATGATGAGTCCTTGCAGGAAAAGGATTTAATCCTTGTTGGAAAATAATAGGTATAGTAATATCACACCTGGCAAGAGAGCTGGGAAGGACACATTGTACTAAATAAAAAGGAAATGTTGCAGGAAAAAGTCGGCACTGGCGACAGCTTCTTTTTTTTTTTTTAAGGCAACTAGTTGTTGTTTCCATATAAATTTAACACACTTGTAGTCTGTTCTACCCCAGCATAGAAATTAAACTGGAAGTAGATGCGTTAGTTTGACAAGGAAATTAAGATATTCCATATAAACTGAACATTGTTATTCCATTGTTGTTGTGTTTAAGAAATTAATTTCTCATATTTGGAGAGAATAAGTAAGAGTACAAAGATATTGACTTAAATACCTTTTCCCCATCACCCAGTCCATGTGAGAGGATACTGTAGTAGAGCCACGCTGTACAGCTGGAAGCAGCAGACCTGGAAGAAAAGCTATAATGATTAATCTAGATGACAGATTGGAGTCACCATTTTGGAGGACAGCAGATTCCAGTTATTGTCATGCCAGCCGCTGACAGTGGGTTGTTATTCTCAACATCTTATTGAAGACAGCTCTATCATTCACAGCACAAATTCATAATACAGGTTGTCCAGAGAGGCTGTGGAGTCTCTGTCTCTAGAGATATTCAAAACCTGCCTGGATGAGATCCTGTGCAGCGTGCTCGAGGTGGCTCTGCTTGGCAGAGGAGTTGGACAAGATGATCAACTTCCAACCTCAACCATTTTGTCATTCTGTGATTCTGTGTAATTTCTGTGAGAATTGGTACAATAACATTATCTGGGCATATTCAAAGGCAAATCAGAAAAGGTAGGGAAATGAAAGCAGTTCTAGTCTTGAAAAACATTTAAAATAAGAGACCGTTAATGTAAAAAAAATAAATAAAAAAAAAAGTGTAAGAATGCTTGAGCTTCTTACTACATAAATCATATACATGTAAAAGAAATTGTAGCTGTGAATGTGGGTCCAGGCTGCCAGCAGAGGATTAAGCCAATTCCTACTTCATTCATTTTCTTCTACACAACAAATTACAACTCTGAACTCAAAAAATTATAAAATAACTTTCAGAGAATGTTACATATTTCTGAAACAGTTATGATTAGTGAGATTTTTTAAAAATAAAAATTCTCCTTTTCCCTGACTGAAGAATTAGGTTTATACAACAAAAATTAGAAGAAAAATAAAAATAAAAAATAAAAATAATAAAAATACAAGAATGTTTACTGAAGTCAGTGGTCTTCTTTTTGGGTGATTACAATAATCATTGTAACTTGTCTCCAGTTCAAATATCCATATGCAGAAGATTAGGATAGGAGACTGACATATGGTTTCTGTAAATGTTCATTGCAAGCTAATTGCTTGCATGACTGTTCATAGAAACTGCAATCATGCAAGAGTCACAAATGTATTTATTAAAAAGCTCAAATGCCTATCAAAACATTTTGACCTTCTGACCATCTGGATAGACAAATCCAGTTCTAGTTATAGAAGAAAAAAAAAAAAAAAACCTTTTTTCTTTACTCAGTGCAGAGAATATTGTATATTTTCATTGATAATTCCTTACACTGTGGGTAGATTAGATGACCTCTAGGAGTTCTTTTCAACCTAAGCTTTTCTATGATTTCTTAAGTAAATTTTGAATTCTTACCTCTGATAACTATGTGTCAATTTTTTGATTTACACCTATGTCCTTAGGTCTGAAAGCAGCCTTTCGCATGGTAATACAGAAACACCAGCTTCATATCAGCAAGATATAGCACCTAGATAAGTGGAGATACAAGCAATTATTTCAAAGTAAGTCTTAATTATAATTCAACAGATAAAACGCCATCACAGTCTGTGCTCACAAGAGTGATTATTAAGGAGAAGCATAGCTTAATCAAGTATTTATATAAGCCACTTAAAGACTACTTAGAGATGCATTGTACAATGGACACTAGTGAGTACTTCTATCAATATTAGAAGTATATCCCCTCAAGGAATTTATAACAAGTATTCTGAGAGATTTCTGTCAAGCTAGATATACCAGAAATAGATGTATATATTAGAATTTGTAGCATTTCTGTAGGCTAATATTGGATTAAGACTTTAGCTCTTATTCCTTATCTTGGACTCGTGGAATTGCTCTGACAACAGAGGTACAACACTTCAAGGTCTTGAAGGTCCATGCAATCTTGGCCAAAAGAGTGGGAAGAGTTGCTTTGGCAGAAGTTGTCTTGGCAGATGCATTCCCTTCCAAAATTTCCAGCCAGGCCCTGAATCAAAGGAAGAGTAGCATTATGAGCATGCCCTCCCAAGTAGAGAATCTCTATTCAAGAGTAGCTGCATTGTTTTTCATAAAGGGACAGGAGAATACATCTGGCCTTCAGAGTGCCATTAAATCAAATACATTTTGTTTTGTCTAGTAAGTCATTATGGAGAAGACAGCTAGCAGAAATTACTGTTGCAGGAAGTTATTGTTTTGATGAATAAATCAATGACTTTTTCTGAACAACACTTGGAACTATCTTGGTGGCCTGATATATTTCATTTAGATGGAAGAACCTAGCTGCTAGTTAATTGTTTGTATGCAGGGATCAATCTAACTCTGATTTCAATCCCCATGTAATAATGAAAGTTATTGAGCAAGTCTGGTTAATAAACTAAGGCAACAAATCTCAAGATATTTTTTGATATGGCAAGTTTTTGCCACAACTTGCAGACAACAAAATAATTATACGAACATTTAAGTAGAAAAATATAGCCATGTAAGCTTATTTTTAAATGAAATATTTTTTGTGCTGGTTTAATATCAAATATTTACCAGATGCAATTGGGACTGAAAAGTCAATAACTCGTCAAAGAAAAAAAAATAATAAAAATCTACTGCGACTTCAGATAGGACAACTAAGACACTGTAATATATACATATTACTGATTAAAATTTGTGGATTAGAAATCTTTCTTTTCTGGAAAGTCATTAAAGAACTTACAACAAGGATGGTACAAATTGTCATATTTACACACTTTTTAATACTTTAATATTAGATAATTTTAAAATAATTTTAAAATAAATAATAATTTTAAAATAAAAATACTTTAAATTCAATGTCAAGAGATTTTTTCATTTAGTATATACCATAAACTTATAGGGATTTAAAAAAAAAAAAAAAAACTCTCAACATCTAACCTTCAACCTCTAAGCTTCAGCTCCTAGACGATACCTCCCACAGTCAGTCCAGTTTTAGCACTGTTAGATCCCAAATCTGTCACAAATAGCATGTCCTATTATTTTCCAGTCTGTTAAAGCTTATTTGTGAATCTGAACAAGTAACATGCACAAACTGCCTCAGCCTAGATAGAAAGAGCTAAGATTAGCATTGTGCACACTCCTAATATAAATGGAACTGTCTGGGGGTTACATCAGCATTCAGATTCATTGCTGTAAAGTCTGCTAGATTTAGTGCAGCAAGACTAGTCAAGGATTAAACAATCTGTTATCAAGGGAATAGCCAACATGTCCTGGAAGAACCACTAAGGATCAGTGCAATCAGCATGTGGAGGGACTGGAAAGATAAATGGAAAGATCTGAAGCATAAAGTGTACAAAGAAAAACTGAATTAATACTAAAAACACAAATGGAAAACTTTTAGTTGTTACTAAAATGCACATTAAAGACCAGAACATATAATTCTGCAATATTGGCTACAGTGTTCTGCTTTGTCCCAGAGCACTAATAAAAATCTTGAGTTAATCTAATAAAATATAACAGTAAGAGAAAATTTAAACTAGGAAACTTTTAAGGATAATTAACTTAGAACAAGAACCAGTACAAGCTTTCCCCAAAAATTTTAAATACACAAAAGCAGTTCAAATGCTGTTGCAAACAACACCTTCAGATTAATTATTTCTTTTACTCATTTTCCCCTAAAAGACACAGCGTAATGCAAAAATATAGTCTAGAAGCAGAAAAGATGCATAGCCACTGAGAAATTAGCATCATATCCCCAGGACCAGGAAGCTGACAACATTTCTGATAGGATGCCTTAGAAGTTTCAGCTCTCTCCTGAAGTCCTGAGTACTAAAAAGCTTAAGCAATGATGTGTCTGTTTTAAATGAATAGAGATAGGTGTTCATATTTGGGGCTTTAGGTAAAAAAATCTTACTAGTATTTTCCCCCCACTAAGTTACTGGATGGCCAAAATGATTCTAAATGGAGTGACAAAATGTCTTAAAATTACCTGACAACAACCAAGTGTCAGGTATGTAAGTGACAGCTACCAAGTCAACCTTTGCCAGGATTTAAAAATACTGTGATCTTTTTTTCCTCTTGTACCTTTGAGAAACTCCTTATGTGAAGGAGTGGATAGGAGCTAAATCAGCTTTATTGCTATATCTTGGAAATCCTCAGCTGTGCCCTACAAAGTAGTTTTACAGCCACTGCAAGCTGCAGGAAACATTTGAAGACTCTTCCTGATTTCTAAATTGTTTACTAGTAAAAACTACAGAAATTTTATTTAAAAAGAAGTTACAGTACTCGTTTTGAAAACCGTTTACTTCTAAGGTAAGAAGAAAAGGAGTGTTACACTCCAGGAGGAAGGAGAAACATCTAGCGCTGGCTTTAAAAAAGAGAGAAATTCGTTCAGCAGTAAGGGAAATGTAGGCAAGCCCACTTGACACAGCACAGTGGGTGTGAGGTTTTTTGAGTATATGATCCTTAATGATATTTTGTCTTGATTGGGTTTGTATTGATGTGTTTAGTATTACAGCTGTTTATAATCCACTTATAAACTCATGCCTAGACTCTAGAAATGCACAGCAATTTACAGCAATTTAAAGTTTTCTAGAAGAAATGAATACTTCATTCATAGAATTCACATTAAATATAAGCAACAAACCTTTAAAGGTGACTCCAAATTTTTTATTTAAAAAGATTGTTTTGAAGGAAGAACCTCCAAGCTTTTGATTAGTACAAAACTGAACGGTATAATTTGGAGGAATAGATAAAAGAAAAAAAAAAAAGTAACAAAAACATTATAAAAATATGTTTAGTTACCTCAAAGAAAGTGCGAGCTCCAGACTTTAATCTGAGTTTGCTGTAGGAAATCTGAACCTTCAGCTATTCCACCTGATTGCAGAGATTTCAGATATTGTATAAATTCTCTATCTCTGACTTCATTGTGGCTGTTTGAAAAATAAATTTAATTAGCTTACTGGGGCAAATACTGTTCTCTTTTAGCCTAAATGAACTTGGTTGCAATGATAGAAAACTCCATATTTTTTTTATGTCACATTAACCATATTATTCTCCTTTCTATTCATTCTTCCTACAGCATTTCCCAGATTCAGTGATTGGTGGATGAATCAGAAAATTTCTTCTACTCACTCATAAAGTAAGGTAGATGGACTCTTGCCCTGCTCTACCTGATTGTTCTGAGGACCATCCTGAAGAGGAGATCTTTCACTACATCTGCAGTACCTTTCCCTAAAGCATTTTCAGTCTGTCTTTTCCCATTCAGCAAAATATAAGGACTCTCAGTTACCAACCAACACTGAAGCTGTTCCATCACCATCTTGTCTCATTGCCTTCAAGTAGTCATGAAAGAATAGCAAAAATCTGTCATGATTTGTCTTGCTCATGACCAAGAAAATCTGTCTTGCTCATGACCAAGAAAAAGATCTAAAATATTTTACATGTTTTATATGGCATTTTTCTAGTATAAGTGGTACTATTTTAAAATTGAACTTAAGATTCCTGTGAGACGGGCTCTTCAGCTTTTTTGTCTTTCAAGGGGTTAACTTGGTAGCTTAAGAAACCAATCAAACACTCCGGCACTACCATTTGCTGTTGAAGGGGGCTCAAGAGGACAACTGATTGCATATCCTTTTGCAAATCCCCCAAGCCAATATTTCTGAAGTCTAAAGTGGAAACTATTTGTGTGCAGCTCATGGGTTTAACTTCAATTTTTGCTTAGCATCCATTTTCATGTGGGCAGCAGGAAACACATCAGACTCATTTGTCATCTGGATGAGACCTGGTTCTTCCTTTAGTTGAGAAAATTGAGATTGAAAGTTCTTTATGAGAGACAACAAACATATTTTTTATCCTCTTTTTTTTTTTTTTTTTTTAATTTGAGAAGCTATTTCTTCATAGCAACACTTGACTAGAATAATCTTTGACAAAGAAACTATTCCAGATCCTAATACACTCTCATACATAAAGCAAATATTGGAGGAAATTAAATGATCAAAAATTGCAAAGCCAAGGCAGACCTTTCTTGGAAAAAAAATCACACACATGCCCCCCCAAAAAAAAAAAAAAAAAAAAAAAAAAAAAAAAAAAAGTGAGCTGAATTGAAAGGAAGCAAAGGAAGTAATACCTTTAAGAATTGTCAGCATAGCAATCCATAAAATTTTTATGCAAAAGACTAAAACTTCACATTTGATTACTGTAGTCAGATAAGCAAAATATTGAGCAACAATGTATTTTCCCCTTGTGCCATGGTTAGCTCCAGATGATTATACACACAAAACTGCAGAGAAGTAAAACTCCTTATTGTTTCACTGGCAGGTCTATATGAAGTTACTCCACTTCAGTAAGAAGGTTAAAGGTAAAGAGGTTCTCAGTTACAGCCCTGTTTGCTGGCTAGCTTTGCCTGAGGACTGCAATGGTAATTTTTAGTTGGTAAAAAATTTTATTGGTAAAAAAATTGACTTGTATGCACACCACAACTTCTGAGGTTTCCTAGTGAACCTGAGCTGACCAACATGCACACTGCTGTGGGCCCATGGCAATATCTTAGAGCAACTAACTGCTGTCCTTATGACTGAAAAAACAAACTAACTAACAAAGAAACAAAAAACCTCTTCCACATTCCCGTGGTATCTGGGAAATTCTAAGGTATTTTCTCAGCTTTTCAATTTGTTTACTGCCTGGAGACGACCATACTTTGAGCTTTAACACCTCAGACATTTTAGAAAAGAGGAGACAGGAGGGAAGAAAGAGGAGGACAGCGGAGCACAGAGGGAAGAATTTTTTCAAGACTGAGAAGAAAAGTTTTGAAGCAGTTTTTGTGCAGGACTGTTAAGAATCCCAGCTGTGACTGCAATTCACTCACTCTTTGTTCCATTTATGTTTCAATGTTATTTTGAAAGGGAAGAAGATGGCTTTGACCACATCTGCTTTTTAAAGGTAGTGATCATTTTTCTACACAGAACAATAAATAAATAAATAAATAAATTAATTAATTAATTAATTAATTAATTAATACATAAATAAAAGCCCTTGGAGGTAAAGGCTGACCCTCACCTATTTCTTTGCCATTGCACAATCATAAAGTACTTCCTTTTGAACTCTGTTGACAATACATTTACCTATACATTGTGCCTTTCTTCAGAAATATACTTATTTGTAACATCAGTACCACTTTTAAGCTATGGTAGCATAACCTGCTTCAGATCCTGTGTTAAGCTCCAATTTGATTACTGATTCCACATAAGATCACATAATCACAGAATCACAGAATCACAGAACTGTAGGGGTTGGAAGGGACCTCAAAAGATCAACAGGTCCAACTACTCTGCCAAAGCAGGTTCCTCAGAGCAGGCTGCCCAGGTAGGCGTCCAGACAGCCCTTGAATATCTCCAGAGAAGGAGACTCCACAACCTCCCTAGGCAGCCTGTTCCAATGCTCCATCACCCTCACCGTGAAGAAGTTCTTTCACATGTCAGTGTGGAACTTCCTGTGCTCTAACTTGCAGCCATTGCCCCTTGTCCTATCCCCACAAACCACTGAGAAGAGGTTGGCTACATCCTTCTGTCCCCCACCCCTCAGATATTTATATACACTGAGGAGATCCCCTCTCAGTCTTCTCTTCTCCAGGCTGAACAGACCCAGGTCTCTCAGCCTTTCTTCATAGGGAAGATGCTCCAGGCCCCGTATCATCTTTGTGGCCCTCCGCTGGACTCTTTCCAGGAGATCCCTGTCTTTTTGTACCGGGGAGCCCAGAACTGGACACAGTACTCCAGGTGAGGCCTGACCAGGGCAGAGTAGAGGGGGAGGATCACCTCCCTTGACCTGCTGGCCACGCTCCTTTTAATGCACGCCAGGATCCCATTAGCCCTCTTGGCCACAAGGGCACAGTGCTGGCTCATGGTCAACCTGTCATCCACCAGGACCCTCAGGTCCTTCTCATCAGAGCTATAATATACATTATAAATTATATAAATAATAATATATAAATATTAAATTATATAAATTATATAATAATATAAAAAATAATATTGAAATATATAAATTATATAAATAATAATATATAAATTATATGAAGATACATTATTCCTCTGGGCCTCAACTTTCTCATCTGCAAAAAGGAGTTAACGACTCTCACTTTCTAGTAGTACCCTGATGAGAAATCATGTAATGGCACCAAATATTTATTATTAGATATGTATGACCAATACTAAAGAAGCTACTAATGTAAAGCAACATCCTTGAAAATTTCTCACAACTTCATATTTTTTAAATAGTATCATATCATGACATTGAGATAATGACGACTGAATATTCACACAATTGTCAGATTAAAACTGGTAATATTTAAATATTTACAATAGATTCCTGACAGAGTACAGTGATACTAGAAATTACCAAATTTGAATTGGCTGAGGACCAACTTACAGTGCTCTGTTATTTATTATTTTGAAGAACCTTATAAACACTGCAGGGAAGGTATTTCTGATCTTTTCTCCGAGGCTTTGCAATGCAGTTATCACTTCTATCAGTGTGAAGTGACATGACGGTTGCATGATAGGTAGGAGCTCAAGGGTACGTTCACTTGGGTAATGGCCACAATTACATGTGCAGGTATAGTGTGGGTCCCTACTACTGGCTCTTCTCTTGCAAAATCATAACCACTGATTAATGTAAGGAACAAGCAGTCTCAACTGCTGATTATATTAAAATTCTTATTATTTTTAAAGGACTTCAGAGATAAAAAGTTACTAGGTTTTAGCACAGACCAGTATTTGCTGATTTACCAGTGGGTAATTTGGGGAATTTAAGATTCTTATAGACCTGATATCTGAAGGACTGGATAGTATAACCTTTCTCTTTGCTTCCCAGAAACACTTACATCCTTGGAAACCGGCCATTTTGGCTAATTAAGGTCAAAAGCAAGTTAAAGCTCAACCAAATCTGTGACCTACACACTCTTCATTCCTCTCCTGGGCCCAGTTGTAGCTATGGCTCAGAGCATTCATTAAATGTTTCAAACATCTGCTGGTGGCCTGAGGTGCAGGACAACCACCTCTACCAGATCTGCTGTGCCTAGACAGCTGAACACTCTTGGTCTGCCTATGCCTTCATGGGAAATTGACCTTGATCTGCTTGTGGGTGTACATTTGCACATGATTTCTGGACCTGGCAGATATGCTTGAACTTCAGAGTGAATTCATCTCTCCATAAAAATAAGCATGCAAAAACATTTGTTGACAATAACCCTGGTTCACAATGCTATGTAACATTCCCATGTCCACAGTCATGTTTTACTCTGGTAGTTTAACAACTGGAGATAAGATGCTTCAAATTTTTTTTCACTTCTTACTAGAGTGCACTGGGATTTCCTTAACCACAAAAAAATAATCTAGATATCCAGAGGAAAAAAAAAGTTTTTCTGAACACAAATAATCCTACAGAGGTTGCATACTTCCTAAACCAAACTTTCTACAATAATATTCAGTCTCTTCTAAAAGTCTAAAAATATATGTTCCTAATCAAATCATGTCATTTTCATAAAACTGAGCTGCTGTATTCTGCTCTGGGGAAAAAATCGGGACAGGATTTATCTTGGAAAAATTAGTACAGATATAGTAGCCCTATACAGATAACTCAGTTACACACCCTTTCAGAAAGATTCAGATCATCTGCCTTTGTTTAAGATTGGTGTTGGCAAAGTATAGGCAATGCTGGAGAACATTTGTTTACTCCTCAACACAGTCAAGTCAGGATGGAACAAAATTCAGCTGGTTGCTATGCTTTGGACCACCCAATATTGTGTCATAATTTTAGTGCTTGTGTCTGAGTAAAAGTGTAGCTTCTAGCCTGAATCCTAATTCAGAGACAGGGCAAGGAAAGGAGATACCTAAACTAACCCTAATCCTGGACGTGTTCCATCTTCTAGCCA